AAAATTTGAATTAAATTTTTTTTTTTTTTTTTTTTTTTTTTAAGTAAACACGGCAATATCAAAACATCGATTCCGGACACCATTCTTGTTTATTATTATTATTCACAGTATGCGCATACTTTTTTTTGGGAAAAAAACAAAAATTTTGAAAAATTATTCCTTCATACCGCCTTTGGCTCGTGATGTACTCATTGCCCCTTGTAACAATTTTCGGGAGCAAGCTCAGTTTGCTTCCATGAAAGATGCAAGGGGCAATTGAATCTACCGTGCATGGTGTGAAGTACAGGTCAGGGGTTAGGCTAGGTCGTGTTAGCTCCAGAGTGTTATACCTAATGCGACCTCAGCCCTCGGGCTGGTAAATATCCATTAGCTGTGGGCAGTGTGTCCTTATCACCAGACAATGACGTAACTTTGATAATGCATCCGCGTCACGTTAAATAGTCCGTGCTCGGATGATCTTCGGTGCAGCGGCCTGTGATAACGCGATAAGCGATAAGCCAAGGCGCACCTTCAATTTTTTATTTACAATTCATTTCTGCTGTTCGGCCCTTTGCGTTTCCCTTTGTCATGTTCGGTCTATGGAATTTATTTTCAAGTTGTCAAGGTGCCTACGTGATATTGTCATTTTATTATTATATTATTCCCGCAAGGCGCTTAGACTCAAGGTATTTCCTCGATCACGAGGGTTCCTGCTTTTCGAAGGTGCTTGGGGGTTAATAAAATTACGCACTTTCATGACCTTTTACGGAAACGATTTACTTACACTCGATACGTCTTACTTTAACGTTTAGCTACATATTTATTATTTCTTTTCACGACTGTACTCCCTGCGCGCAGCGGTGTATCATTTCCAAATCAGGGCTTCTCTCGGCCTCTACTGCACTTCCCTTAGAATGTTTCCACCAGTCTTCACGACTATGGGGAATACAAAATACAGATATCACGTAGCAGATTGGTTATTAAAATTTTATTATTGCGTTTGATAAAAAAAATCTTATACCAGCCTATATATCTTTATATTATATATTAATTAAATGAATTTACGTAAAAAAAATAATTTTTTTTTAATAAACATAAAATCAGATTCTTCAAGTGATAGGGATTTGGTTTTGAAAATTCAATAAAAATATTCTTATTACCCCCCCCCC